CTCTCTGGATACATGGAATCAGTGGTACAAGTACCCAAGGCACATAGTTTTTCCATTTTTGTAGCATAAACACCATGAAACCGATGAAAGCTTCGGATCTTCCAGGGTTTCTCTATGGCTCTGAAACCTAAAGATCTCCGAGTTCTGGTCCCCGTGCAGCTGATACTCAACTGACATGGGCCCATCTACGTTCGAGGGGAGGGGCTTACCGATAGGTCATTATGTATTTAGTCAAGTCAAGTCAAGTTTATTTGTATAGCGCTTTTCACGATACAAATCGACTTGTGAGCGTCAGCCCGGGATGTTTCCAGCGCGGCTCTCCGCTCCCTCAGCTGGGCCTGCCTCTTCACCAGGTCGCGGATCTGCTTCTCCACGGCCTCCAGCTCAAGCTGCACCGAATGCAGCTTGAACGTGTCCTCACCTGCACTCAAAGGTAGACACACATCCGCCATTAAAGCAAGTAACAGTGAATAGTGTATTAGTAATGTAAGCGAGATTAGCGGCAACCACGCTGGCGATGCTAATGGGCTATATGCTAATAGCGGACTCGGGAAATCAAAATAGAACTAGTGATAACAAGGCGGTCTGATTGTTTTTGTTGTAGAATACGATAGGGGATATATTCACACGTTATAGAAACGAAAATTATGGTGTATAAAATTGATTTTAAGATAAAAAATAGACAATAAAAAATTTACTTGAAGCTCAAACTCAAAACACACGGCAGCAACAAACAGTGCAGGTAAGGAAGTAGGTGGGGTCAGTAGGGGGAAACGGATACAATTTTCAGACCGTTTGTTCATGTGGCTGTATGTGCTAATGTTTAGCGGTGAAGCTATAGTTCAACTGTTGATTTTATGGATTGTTGTTTTACAAAAATAAATGACTAAGAAGCTATGCTACAGACTCACTCGTCAATTGTTCGCCCCTACCTGGATAATGGCTTATCACAAATTTGCCACTACAACATCTGACGAGCCGATGTCAAAAACAGCTGTGCATTAAGGGATTCAGACTAAATTAAGAGTAACAAAACTACTGCAGCAACAAGTCTGTTGGCTGGATATATTTAGCAGCTTCTACAGTTAAAGATACAATTTAAAAATGTTTCATTAAATGTTGCATTAAATATTTCAAAATATTTAATGCATCATTATTGAATTGTTATACTATTAATAATTAACTTATTTAATTTGTAGTTAAGTAGTTAGTTATTTAAATAATTTACTCTTCTAGGCTGTTGGTGTCTGGGCTTATTTATTTTTTAAATGACGAGACTTTGACCCAATCCCAATTCTATTTTATACCCCTACGCCTACCCCTTCCCCTTCCCCTTGTCCCTTGAAACAGAGTGTCAAGGGGTGGGGGTGAAAATATTCCCCTAAGTATTGGGACACCACTACTATACCGTCACACGTCATCATACGTCGTCTAGCTCCTACAATACACACACCTATACTGGTGTGCATTAGAGCCTTACCATTCTATATTAATGCGCTGCTTACTGACACACACACACACACACACACATCAGATATCGCGCAGCTCACACATCCAGGAGCAAAGAAACTTGTCAACGCTGCCCCAAGACTTTTATTAATAACAGTTTAAATATTGAATCGCTACAATATATTTTCCAGCAACGAGAGGATAATCACTGTTTTTGAAGTAAACCCACTCATCACTTGTAAAGAGAGATGCACAGACGATGCATACATACAACTTTCATCTCTCTCTCTCTCTCCCTCTCTCTCTCTGTCTCGAATTGGCAATATTTGAGAAAAAGGTTTAGCGATTTCTAATTATTGGGGGAACTAGCCCCCCTCAATGTCTATGGTTGTTATCGCTCTGATCAGACATGAAAATATGTTGTGGCACTATCGTGCAGTCAGTAATGATATGACGTTTAGCAAACTTTAGCAATTATTTGCAAACATTTATTTAAATAACATGACAGTAAATAGGAACTCACGATTGAATGTAGCATAAAACAAATGATTACTTTTCATTAAAATCTTTATTAATGCCAATAATGCTTACATTTATGTGTCTTTTATTTCGCTCTGGCAGCCATGTTGCCAGTTTACGCTGAGATAATTCATACCCCTTCATTTGAAGTGTGGTCCCGAAAAATCTTCGTTTGAAGGGCTGTCTGGCCCTTCCCTTACCCCTACCCCTCCAACCAAAAGAGAATCGAGACACCCCTACCCCTTCACGTGAATGCGCGAAACGGAGGGGTAGGGGAAGGGGAAAGGGGAAGGGCTAAGGGGTAGAAATGGGATTGGGCCTTTGTGACTTCCTGAACTTGCTATACTTTATACTTCAATACAGTACTAAATATTTAGTACTAATAAGTACTCAAATTTCTTATAATAGTCATTTCACAATAAATCCAAAAGCAAAACGTGAAAAGAACTAGGGAGTTGAAATGGCAACTGTGAAATGGCTATCCTCTGTTGTCATCTATTTATAATGGTAATTTCATGTCAATTTCATTTTAAAAGTCTTTGTTTTCTGCCAGGAGACTTTTTTGGCACATTTTTCATGTCATCTTTATGAATGAAAAGTGAATCTTTAAAGTGAATTTTACTGCACAGCTGTAGAGTTGAGAAATAATAAAGGCTTTAAAATATTGTGTTTTAAAAATGTGTTCATGACTATTTGAAGTGTGGTCCCGAAAAATCTTCGTTTGAAGGGCTGTCTGGCCCTTCCCCTTACCCCTACCCCTCCAACCAAAAGAGAACCGAGACACCCCTACCCCTTCACGTGAATGCGCGAAACGGAGGGGTAGGGGAAGGGGAAAGGGGAAGGGCTAAGGGGTAGAAATGGGATTGGGCCTTTGTGACTTCCTGAACTTGCTATACTTTATACTTCAATACAGTACTAAATATTTAGTACTAATAAGTACTCAAATTTCTTATAATAGTCATTTCACAATAAATCCAAAAGCAAAACGTGAAAAGAACTAGGGAGTTGAAATGGCAACTGTGAAATGGCTATCCTCTGTTGTCATCTATTTATAATGGTAATTTCATGTCAATTTCATTTTAAAAGTCTTTGTTTTCTGCCAGGAGACTTTTTTGGCACATTTTTCATGTCATCTTTATGAATGAAAAGTGAATCTTTAAAGTGAATTTTACTGCACAGCTGTAGAGTTGAGAAATAATAAAGGCTTTAAAATATTGTGTTTTAAAAATGTGTTCATGACTATGAAGGTCAGTTATTGAATATCAAGAATACCATTATGATGTCGTTTATGAGATAGCATCATTAGCTAGCTAACGTTTGCCTAAACAGTTACGATAGTGTTTAGTTGTCAGCATTTAAATGTACAATTATGTGTCTGGGTACTCTCCTGGGATTACCATGCTCGCCATATGAAATTATATGTTATTAAAGAACATGAAACTATATGTTAATACCGCTATTATTATTTATGATGTTGCAATTATTTTGTTTCTCAGTTTCTGACATGAATGAGGCAGGAGAGGTCTCTGTAAGGGTCTCAAGAGAGTCTCTACCTACATATACCACAACATCAAATGACGCTTTAACAGAAGTTTATGAGCTGGCTTATCTTAATGCAGAAGTTCTAAAGAATGCTCTGTGCATATGACCAATTCCATTTTATTTTTACGTGTCTGTCAGTCTGAGACATCTTTGCCATTATGTGTTGTGAGCTTGTTTGAGCAAGACAAGCTCACATTCTTGCTCAAACAAGCTCACATTTCATTGGACAGTGTGAAGTGGAGTGGTCTTATTCATTAATCAGTTGAAAACTACACAGCCACTGTCTGTTTTCATTTTTTTTCTCTCTGACAAACATGAAATGACGGAAAAGATCACATTAATTGTAAGTAGTGTTATATACAGTGTCTTGCGAAAGTATTTGTACCTTTTCATTTTTTTTTTCACATTTTATGTCATGTCGCTGCCTTGTTAAACTGCTTTAAATTATATATATTTTTTCACATCAGTCCACACTCCATACACCATAATGGCAAAGCAAAAAAAAAACTGATCTGTGACAACTTAGCAAATTTATTAATGGAAAAACTGAAATAAGTACATCGCATAAGTATTTATACTCTTAACTCGGTACTTAGTTGAAGCACTTTTGTATGTACTGTATATATATTTATATACTGTATATATATATATACAGTGGGTACGGAATACTTGAGTGTATGTGTGTGTATATATATATATATATATATATATACACACACATACACTCAAGTAAGAAAGACACAATTTTCATTTTTGGGTGAACTAACTATTCCTTTTATGCGTTAAAAATGCATGTTATATAAAATTGCATTATGTCAGAACCTTTATTTAGTTATGAAACAGCCATTAAATTTTAGTTGCCTGCACATTAATGTTTTTTAATGCATTCTTAAATATTAAGAACAAATTCATCAAATTGACGATGTAGCTTTTGTTTTTCAAGTCAAGTCACCTTTATTTCTATAGCGCTTTATAAAGTCAGTTCATTGTTGATTCAGTGATGTCATCGTCCAGCTCAGTTCAGTTCTCTTCCAATAGTGTCTGTGCAGTCAAGTCAACAATGTTGCCAGAAACTGTGTCCCCAAAGGCGACAGTGGCAAGGAACCAAAACTCCATCGGTGGCAGAAATGGAGAAAAAAAACCTTGGGAAGTTGGGAGAAACCAGGCTCAGTCGGGGGGCCACTTCTCTGGCTACACAAAACCAGCATGGTGTGGTTTAATTCCAGGCTGCAACACGTCAGATTGAACAGAGGTCTCATCTAGTACTCGTGGTCTTGTGCCGTTGGCTGACAAGGTCTTTACAGGCGATCTGTCTCTAGGGTTCATCTAATTGACATGGTCTCCACTGACAAACAGGGCTGTAGAGGTCGTCTAATCATATTTGTGCCTTTCGTGACACTGAGACTTTTTTTTTGGAAGACTTTATATTTTAGGAATTTATATGATTTACATGAAACATTGAAGACTAATGCTTTCTGTCTTGTCTGTAGGTGATTCCTTGTGCCCAGAGAGATGCTCTTTACTGCCTCCACGAGAATGGTTGCATCACCCTGCGTGTGTGCCGTTCCACAACACCTTCTCCTAATGAAACAGGCAAGACAGGTTTTGTAACTTTACATCTATCCTTCCATCTGGGGGTAGGGCATATGATAAGTAATTTTTTCATCACAATAAACCTGTACATATCACAATATAGTTTTTACTGAAAATGTAATGACAGGAATTATCTTTTTTGGATAATAATATTAATTAAATATTTTATAAATGACGGGTACTTCATCTGTGACTGCACATCTTGAATTGTATATTGCAACCAGGGCAGGACTTAGGGGGCCGGGGGCCTATAAACTTCAAATGCCCTCAACTAGTACATCATTATGAAGTAACACAAAATACACAAAATTAAAATATGCTTTGAGGTTCATATATAGTACAATTAATATGCAACATGTCTAGACTAGTCAAAGTTTAGATGTAATATTAAATAGTCATTATAATACAATAAACAGGATGTCTTCTCTCAGTTGAGAGATCAAAACCCTGAAATTACACTGAGGAAAAAAGACAGAGATGTATTAGTATTACTAAAATTTATTGTCACAGCCTATATGTGTCCTCTTATGTCAGATTCTTAAATTTAATCAATAAATTCAATCTGAATAAAAAGACATTTTGGCTATTAACAATCAAATGAAATCACTATCAACAAAATCCATA